CCATTGTCAGTGTCCACTGCAACTTGTTCCACCACCGCGAGGTCTGATTGCCTGTGCCCTGTGTGTTGGGCGAGCAGGTGAAAGACGTCTCTGTCTCACTCACACTCACACAGTCAGTGAGCTTGTTGGTTCGTCCCTGGTTGGGAAAGAGATGATGGAGAACAGCCCAAAGGCGAAGTCTCTTAATTGGCACGTTGTCAGAGACGAGTGTGAAACAAAGGGCGGCGGGCATGGAGGGCGGTAGCGACGGGGATGGAGACGGTGACGGTGGCGAGGGAGAGGAAGGGGGTCCATTAACACCAGACAGCGAGAGGGGCAGGGAGGAAAGGGGGAGAGAGGAAGCCAACGCGACGTGCGCAGAGGATGAGGATATAAACTGGGACGACGCAGCGGAGGGGATAGGCGAGGGAATCGAGGGACCGGAGGGCTTTCGCGACAGCGACGATGACGACGAAGAAAGGGGAGGGGACGGAGGGGCGACACGCAGGAGGAGCGAAATCGCTAACGGCCCGAGAAGAGAGGGCGACGGTGGGGCACGAGGGAACAACGGAGACGCTACCGATGACGCGAACCGAGGCACGGACGCCGGCGGGGACGGGGAGGGCGACAGCGACGTCGAGGTTGACGCAACCGTATCGAGAGCGCCACCCAAAAAGGGGCGGACAGCCATGGAGGTCACCGAATGGAGGGCGAACGGCACGATGCGAAAAGGCAGGGCGAGGCGGATGGAGAAAGAAGTGCCGAGAAGGCCATGGTGGAGGGGAGGGACGGGAGGACGAAAGAAGGGCGAGGAGGACGAGCGGCCCGCACAGACCGCGAGCAGACAGCGCCTGCTGGCCATTTCGAGACATTCGCCAAGAACGCTAGCTACATGGGAGGGCTTCGTGAAGGATGGATTGAAAAACATTCGAACAAAGAAGAGGCGACGGGAGGAACCGGCGGAGGATGCAGTGACGTGAGACACACACACACACACACACACACACACACACACACACACACACACACACACACACACACACAAACACACACACACACACACACACACACCGCTCACCCACGCGCACTGGGCCTTGCACTTTGAATGCCGTGGGGCTCCTGTCGTCAGACGTGGAGACGCGAGGGTTGCCCCCCCTTGCCCCACCACCTCGTGTGTGTGGAGAAGTTTACCTTACCTTACCTTACCTTGGCACGTTGTGCGAGTATATGGGACAAAAGCGTCGAAAATGTCCCAAAAAAGCGTGTCTCGAGTTTGTGGCAGCTCCGGAGCCAGCGCGGGCTGCCAGGACGCACCGCTCGCGCGTTCGGCGCACTCCCTGGCACCCAGGGAGTGCGCCTAACCGACCAGACCGAATAGGCTCGATGCCGCGCTCGCTGTGGAGCTGCCACAAACTCGCCGCCGAGCGTGCCACCGATGGCGTCCTGGCGGAGGTGGTGGAGTTTGAGACCTGAGGCTGCGGAGGTGACGCCTGAGGTACCGGGCCGTGCACGGCGACTCAGCCGGCGACCGCCACGGGCTCAGACGAGACTTGTCGACGCGTTCCGGCTCAGCTTCACCGTGGTCCTCGGGCGTCTGTCGACGTCAGGACCACCCATACAGCTCGCGGGTTTGAGGTCGCAAGAGCCAAGATGGTGGCGTTTGGACATCCCAACCATCACACAAGACA